TTTTTTTTTTTTTTTTATCAGAGACAGGGTCTGGCTCTGTGGCCCAGACTGGAGTGCAGTGGTGCGATGGCTCACTGCAGCCTCAAATTCCTGGGCTCAAGTGATCCTCCTGCCTCAGCCTCCCAAGTAGTTGGGACTACAGGCACATGCTACCATGCCGAGCTAATTTTTAAAGTTTTTTTTTTTTCTAGAGATAGGGGTCTCGCCATGTTGCCCAGGCTGGTTTCAAACTCCTGGGCTCAAGCCATCCTCCTGCCTCGGCCTCCCAAAGTGCTGGGATGACAGGTGTCAGCTACCATACCCAGCCCTGTCAAACCTATTCTCTCCTGGGTTGTTTTAGGAATTTCAAACTGTGACCCTGAACAGCACTCTTCCCATTTAAGGGCTATCAGATTGAGAAACAGATAGAATAGTGAACGGAATTCTGTCTTCCCTGCTTGGCTGCCATCTTAGACATGGGAAAACTTTAAGAATCAAATTGTCCCAGTCATCCTGGAACCAGGAGGGACAGCAACAGGGAATTTAGTAAGGAAACTTGACAAGTTAGGTCTGTTGCGGAAGGACCAAGAGCTCCCAAATCTGGCCTTGACTATCTTGGGTCCATGTGTCAATGAATGAACCTGACACGTCAGGGTCCTGCAGGCAAGGGTGTGGTCTCTGCCCAGTGACAACACACACCCCAGATAGACAGCGACTCCACCTGTTCCTGCAGTCCCTGGGGTGTGACTTTCACTGAGGAACCCGAGCCCTTCCCTGGCTCCCAGTCTTCACAGAACAGATGGGACATCACACCCTCTAAAACCCTGCCTTATAAATCCCATGGGGACATGGGTATCTAGACACGGTCAAGTCCTCTTTCCTTGATGCTTTATCCAATTCTAACATTTCTAGGCCGGGCGCAGTGGGTCACGCCTATAATTCCAGCACTTTGGGATGCCAAGGCGGGTGGATCACTTGAGACCAGGAATTTGAGACCAGCCTGGCCAACATGGTGAAACCTCGTCTCTACTAAAAATACAAAAATTAGCCCACTGTGGTGGCGGGCGCCTGTGATTCCAGTCACTCGGGAGGCTGAGACACAAGAATTGCTTGAGTCCAAGAGGCAGAGGTTGCAGTGAGTTAAGCCTGCACCGCTGCACTCCAGCCTGGGCGACAGAGACAGACAGAGACTCTGTCTCAAAAAGAAAGAAGGAAGGAAGGGAGGAAGGGAGGAAGGGAGGGACGCAGGGACGGAGGGAGGGAGGGAGGGACAAACAACAACCAGCATTTGTGACCTGAGAACCACACACTGTTCTAAGCTCTCGTCATGCGTTATATCTTAGTGACACCTTATGAACAGCTCTCTGAGGTCAAAATGATTATGCTCAGTTTCCAGCTAAAAAAACTTGAAGCTCAGAGAGGTAGAGTAACTTGTCCAAGGTTCATCAGCAGAAACTGGGGCATCCAGGATGAAAACCCAGGTCTAAAACTCATTCCCTTCCTGCACTCGTAACTGGTACATTTATTTAAAGTAGAAGCATTTCTTCCACCTCAAGAAAAA